AGCAAGGCGGACACTAAACGCAGAGTCAGAGAGAGATTCATCTTTGTGTGAGAAAGTGAAAGCGAGAGAAGGACTTTACTGATTTTTTTGTTTTTTGTGTTTCATTCTTCAGTGTACACAGATGAATATTTATAGTGGGTTGGCTCTACCATTTGAATTAGGGCATTGTGTTTATTTGTTTTTATAACAACTAAGGTTTTAGGCTTATTGTTTTTAACTTTAACAGCATGAATTATTTTTTACGCTACTTCTATTTTTTCTCTGTACAAACTAAATAAGCTAGAGGAGCTATATATATATGGTTATTTTTACTTTCTAAGAAAATACAAGACTTTCATTTGTTCTTTCCTTCTCAGACCAACCATAATTTTTTACCTAATATGTTGGATATGTTTTGATTTCCACCGTCCATTCTTTTAGTCTGTAAATAATATAGATGGAACTTGGAAGTATTGTCCTAAATATAATAGATTTACATAAGAATCTCAATCTTATGGAGCATATCGAATATCATGTGACTAACACAAAACGGACGTTATTTATTTATGTAAGTGATTACATAAAATTTAGAACCTATCTTTTGCGCAGCTTCTATATACTGTAATGAGAAAGCAAATTATAGCAAGAGTTTCAGACTACATAGCTAGAGTTATTTTAAATCTCTATCTAGTTAATTACGATCGATGACAAAAACATTTTTTGATTTCGTGTAATAATCGCACATTGGTAAGTTTATAATAGAGGGTTGATTTGCAAAAATAATTTTGAAAGTTGCTTTTTGAGTATTTGTCCTAAATAAAGTAGATTTAAATGTTGAATTATCGCTATTGATTAATAGATTTATCCTCCTATATATTAAAAGAGAAGTCATTTTAATGAATTTTGCTTACATGTCATTCATAGGTGCAATGTAGAATTAATTTTTTTAATTTGATTGGTTGTTAGCATTTGAATTTTTTATTTATTCAATTATTTTTTTTTAAAAGGAAACTAATCCTAGAATTACCTAATCTAATATATATTACCAAACAAACAATTAACCATCTTAAATACATAGGATTAATAGAATTTATTTATAGAAACAATTAAATATCACATATTCCATTATAAAAATTTAGAATATATATATAAATACATATTATATTATAGAAATAAGTATATAAACAATTTTTTTTATTAATAGTGGATAAAAAATCATACACTGCATAAAACTAATAATATTTGTATACTCACTCACTATATATATGTATTCTTAAAATATGTTCAATGAATACAGAACAGTCAAATGTAATTTTTTTTTAAATCTATCATTTTCCAGAGATAAATGTTGATAGTATAGTTGAGTTATCACTTTCAAAAATTATTTAAGTATTTTTATATTTAAAACAAAAAATTATATGGTATGTCATCTTAAGAAAAATATGAATAAATGAAAAAAGTTTATTATAATATAAAATTACAAAAAAAAATCAAAACATTATATTAATACAAGACTAGAGTTAATATTCTATTCATATAATTCATATAGCTTTAATTATAATAAAACTAGCATGTTTATTTTTAATAAGAAAAAAAAAGAAAAGAGAAATAAATAAAAACATGAGTGAATAATAATAAAACCTTTTGTTGAATTCTTCGTTATTTTGTGTTTGTACATACATAATTTTTTATTTGTATATCAAAATATTTTTTTACGTATTAATATAATTGTAAGCTAATTATTTTTAGGTCTTTATACAACATAAATAAAAATTGAGCAAGGAATATAAATATAAATGATAAGTTATAAAATTGCTAATGTTGAAGATGCAATATATAGCGTAAATTAAATTTAAAATAAATTATTTTAAAATAATGATAAGTATTTTTTGTGGTGTAATAAACTTTTAAAATATATGATAACAAAATTATAACAAAATTTATACAACTAGAAACATGTTATTTTGATATATTAAACTGTTGAATCTCACGTTTATATTAATCTATGTCTAAAATAATGACATCACATCCTTTAAGAATTAAGATATTTTATGTTATATAATTGTTTAATCAAATTTACTTTTTGAAATACAGTTATTTAGATTTACTTAAAATATGTATGTAATGAAGTAATTAAAAAATTAATATATTTTTAAGATATTTATTTTTTCAATGAAAATCTTGGTCTAAGGAATCAATGCTTGATAAGATAGTGTGAAGATTGGAGAGAATTTGATAATGAATTTATTTGGTTAGCCAATTGTGATTTTATATTAAATTCTAAATAAAAAAATATGTAAGAAAGGGAGAAAGAGAGGGAGGTATGATGATGATAAGGATTAGAGAGTCGGTTATGATCATAATGAAGATGAAAGTGAATATAAGTGAAAGACTGAATATAAGTGAGATAGATTCTGAAATCATTTATTAATACTATGTGAATGTGTTTTGAAGATTTAACAAAATCTGGTGAAAATTTTACAATCAAAGAGAGATATAGAGAGTTTTAAAGTGAAATATTGAGGATCATATTAAGGACGAGGGTAAGAGAATAAATATAAGTGATTGTGAGAGAGTGAATGTAAGTTTGAGAGATTTTGAGATTATTTGATCTACTAAGAGAGAGAGAGAAAGAAAAAGAGAGTGAGAGAGGTGTACAAAGACATACAAAAATAATGCAAAGAGTGATACATAAGAAACAAAACGAATGTGTGAAAAAATACAAGGAGAAACGAAATGAGTAAGATAGAAAAATATATTAAAAATAGAGTATCTATGTAAAAGAGAAAGAAAGTTACAATATATTTATACATTTATATTATTTTTTATTCATGCAATGTATAGATTATATTAATGTCCGCACAGGCGTGCAGGCCGTCCACCTAGTACTAAATTAATTTTGTTGTGGTTGATTTACTGTTGATATTGGCTGAGTTATCATTAGACCAAAAGGAATGGCTGGGTTATCAACCGTAACTTACATATGTAATGATGGTGGTCGGTGGATTTATCATGTTGAATGGTAGATTAAAATTACATGCAAGACGTAGACGATATATGATCGGTTAGTATATGATAGTATTCCCTATGTCTCAGTATTGGAAAATTATCATTAATTTAAAATATTTTTTTTGGGCATTAGAGTTATTTATCTTTGAAACACTTGACACTTTTCCATCTGTTTCTTAATTGCAGATTTCTTTAAAAAAATTATAGAATACATACATTTTTTTTCTAGAAAATAGTTCAAACCTTTGCTTAAGTAACTAATCATCTGTGAAAACAACAGAATATTAGCATTCTCCACAAGCTACTGGTTGTTGTAGGAGAACCCATAGATCAGATTGTATATTGTCTAAAATCTCTTTAGAAGTATATGTGGTTTTAGCAAAATGATCAATTGAAAAGTAGAAATGGAAAAAGGGTGAATTGGCCTATAATCCATAAAGAACTTAGATATTAGCAATATGCCATGGTTTTGGGTGAAAAATAGTGAGAGGGGGAGGAGAGATAAGAGAGAAAAAGGGTAGATAGTTAATTTAGGGATTTAGTTTGTATAAGGGATACAAATACTCATGGAAAAGTTCAGTTAAAAAAAGGTAGAAACGTGGAGGCGCCACGTTGTATTTGCATACTATATTGTCGCACAATTTTTATCACCTTTGAGAAAGAAAACAATTATCTTATCATAAAATAACTTTTAAGTTCCACATATTTTATTTGGAAATTAGGAAATGACAAAAAAAAAACTATAATTCAATAACTAACCAAAAACCCACTTTCTCTCTATCTTTCTCTTCCTAGCTCTCTCTACTTTCTTAGAGCATTTTTATCTCTAAAACTCTATTAGATTTTTTAAGTTATTTTTTGTCTGAAAAAAAAATTAGAAAAATAAACCAATCACGGATTGTTATATGTGTCAGTGCAGCCTGCGAACAATGCAAAAATAAAAATAAAATAAAAAGTATTTATTTTGTCACTTAGAGCATAATTAACTTTTAGGATTTTGGCCCAGATTTTTAGAATTTTTTTCTCTGAAAAACAAAAAAAAAAATAGAAAACCAATCATGGACCGCCACATGTTGATGGAATCCGCGAACAGTCCAAAAACCACCCTAAAATCATCTCTTATACATGAACGAGACCCGCAAATTTCTAAATAATTGTTCTTAAGAACCATGGTTAATTATGGGGGGTGATTGATTGGGTTGTAAGTGCTGACTTTAGCTTTAATTTTTATCAATAGTACTTAAATCACCAATCATGATTTATCTTATTTTTTAAAGCTACAGCAAAAAACTAAAAAAATGGTTGTAAAATCCTTATTTTCTAAAGCTACATTTTTTTTGTTGTAGAAAATATGTTGCTGTAACAATAAATTTTAAAGATACATCTTTTACAGCTAAATCAGAAAATACTACTGACTATATTCTACAGTAAAACTTTTACAATTACAGTTCAACCAGTCATCCCCATGATCTAGGATTTGGATGGGTCCCACCACGTAAAAACCCCCATTAATATGCTGGGATAAAAATGATCTTAGTACAAAACTAATTTATTTTTATTTTTTGGCTATTTCCCAAATAATCTCTATTTTATTCTTGTAGAAACTTTAATACAAATTGTGTTAAATTATTGAATGAAGGAAACTGTTTTTTGTTCGATTGGGTGATCTGAAATATATTTACAGCAAAAAAAAGTCTAGGAAATAATATTGGAAATTTATCTTTCAACAAGATAATCAAATACTCCACTTTTATGGTTGTTGTAGGAGAACCCATAACATGCTGATGCTAGTAATCAACATGATAACATCTCATCATCTCAACTCAACACATAAAATGCATGCATGTAAAGGGAAAAAGAAAGGATAAGACACTTGTGGAGAGCACATGTCAAAAAGATCCAACGGCTCAGATTCACCGAAAATCCAATCCCTTTGTAAAACATAAGCCACACGAAAATTAAAACACATAACACAAAGAAGCAGAAGAGATACAGAACAGAAGACAACAAGAATGGCTTCCTCGATACTAATGTCCTTTGCTCCGGCCACTGTGAGATGCTTCGCCACGGGAGCTAAGGGAACCACCAACACCACCACCACCACGAAAGAAGAGAAGAGTATCATTGACTTCGTTCTTGGCAGTTTGACCAAGCAAGATCAGTTTTACGAGACCGATCCTCTACTCAAGAAGGTGGACGATAAAGAAGGAACCACCGGAGGTAACGGTGGCCGTAAAACGGTTTCAGGCGGAAAGAACTCGGTGGCAGTGCCACAGAAGAAGAATGGTGGTGGCTTCGGTGGTCTCTTTGCCAAGAAATGAGAGAAAAAATAGTAAATATGTGTGTAATCTATTTACTTCGCATTTTCAAAACTCTAATTGTTGAATCTTCGTACATTAATATCCATCAAATAAAAACCTTCCAGTTCTTGAAAATTCATGATCTTATGTTATCACACTGATTGCTTTTAGTTTAATTATTTTTGCTCAATTCATTGCAGACAACATTTTATCATTATGTTGTGTTAGAGCCAAAAGGGGGTGTTATAAGACAATTCAGTAACCCAAAACCTTAAAACTCATCACTCAAAAGTCATCTATTTCATAGCCTCTGGGACATGATAGATTTCATCTTTTCTAACTGAAGTTTGTATAACATATGAATGGCTTCTATATATACATGTGAGTCAATAATACAATTGCCAAAAATAAAACCAAATATCACAACACATACTTGTTTGCCAGCAAGTAAAAGCTTTTCTATACATAATGAGTCCTTAAACTAAGCATCAAAGGGCCACTTTTCCGAGGAGATGGTGCCGTCATTGGTAGATAGATTTTTCCAGCTTTTGACCCCATCAAAGTGTTATCTTTTTACGTGGCAGTGTCATTGATGCCTGACCTGAGAGATACAGGAGGCTTCTATATGCTAACTGGAGCTAGCTTGCGCTGGAAGCAGAGCCGCAGCTTGTTTTCCTTTGATGAACACAGCAAGTTCCTCTGGGGCAACTACTCTATTCAGCCATTTCTGCAGTTCTTCACCTTCTACTTTTTCTTCATCTAAAACCATTTTCACGTTTTCAAGAAAAATAAAACAGAGTCAAGTACTTGAAGAGCTAGATTGCGATTCAAACCATCAACATTTAATGAATCAAACAAACCCATATAAATGGTCTTGTGCTTTGTTTCAGGTGAAGTTTTAAAACTATTACTACCCAGATATGTAATGTGTTACCTTCCAGTTGAGCACCGAGCCCTTCTAACACATCTGGATTAGCACGAACAACAGTCAACGCGACACTGAGAGCAGATTGCAACAAATTTGTTACCTCTCGTTGAACAAGATCGACTAGATGTCCCTGTTAATTAAACATTAAAGTTTTAAGTCCGCATGATATTTAAAAGGGGGATTCTAGAAGCCTAGGAAGAATGAAGTTACCTGATCTCTTCCCCATGGTGAGCCCCCAGAGTCATCCATCCCACCAGCAGAAAGTGTAGACACAGAAACGGGTCCGATTTTCTGGTTGAGACCATATTCAGCTACTGCCTTGTATGCCATGTCGGTTGCTCTCCTGATATCATCAAGTGCACCTGTTGATATACGCCCCGAGTAAACAACCTCTTCAGCTGCACGACCTCCGAGGAGTGTGACCAAGCGGCCATGTAACTCATCAATGAACAGCAAATATCTGTCTTCATGTGTAGGAGGAATATATGTAAAACCCAACGCCCCTCCCGATCTTGGCAATATGCTTAATTTCTAGCAGAAAAAACATGACTTATCAAGATAATTAACACTAGTAAAACTGCGACTTAAGCCTATCCCGGAAGCTGTTTTTATTGTTTTACCTCAACACGAGACTGTCCAGGAAGAAGATTTGCAACAGCTGTACCAACAACTGCATGCCCAGCTTCATGCCTTGCAACCACAGCCTTCTCACTGCCTTTTAACCTTGCTGTTTTCTTCTCTATGCCCTGCAACAAGAGATGCACTTTTTTAGGAAAAATCGTCACGAAATGGTCAATACACTGAGAAATAATATGAGATTACCGCTATTGATCGCTCCACAGCCTGAATGAAGTCAATCTTATCAACCGTCGTCTTGCTCTTCCTTCCAGCTAGCAAAGCAGCCTCATTAACTAGGTTTGCAAGGTCTGCCCTATAAAAATCAAACATCAAAGTTCAGCGAGATAAACAGCAAAAAAGCAGATAACAAACTTCTGGTCCAAAAATTTACCCAGTAAAGCCGGTAGTCATCGAGGCAATGCTACCAAGGTTGACATCATCTCCCAAAGGAAGCTCTTTCTTTGAAACATGCACTTTCAAAATGGATTCTCTTCCTACTCTGTTAGGTGTTTCCACCTGAAAAATGTTTCAGATAGCTATAATAAAGTCTTTGAAACTATCTGAGAATTTTACATAGCAGAGCCAGATCATTCTACAAACCGTAACAACACGATCAAATCTCCCTGGTCGACGCAGGGCAGGGTCTAAGACATCAGCTCGATTTGTAGCTCCAAGAACAATGACTGCGGAGCTGCTGTCAAAACCGTCCATCTCCTGCAAAAAAGTTTCCGACACATGACTGGATCATGCGAATATCAGGAAAACAACATTGGCAGAAAATAACCGCATGATTTCAAACTTACAGTGAGCAACTGATTCAAGGTTTGCTCCCTTTCATCGTTGCTGACCATTCTGAATTTATTATCACGGCTTTTGGCGACAGCATCTATCTGCAAAATGAAATCAGAACAGAACAGTTTCGTTCAGATGAATAGCTCCAATGAGTTGATCCAACAGTGACCGTATATTCAAACCTCATCAATAAATATAATTGAGGGAGCCTCCTTCTTGGCCCGTGCAAAGAGATCCCTTACACGTGAAGCACCCATGCCAACATACAGCTCTACAAACTCACTTGCAGAGCAACTAATGAAGGGGACTTCAGATTCCCCAGCAACAGCCTTTGCAAGAAGAGTTTTCCCTGTTCCAGGTAGACCGACCTTCCAAAAATGGAAACAAATCCATAAAATTCTAAACATAGTAACAAAACTTTACCCATAAACTCTACCTAAGAAATGAATCAACTCACCAATAGGACACCACGAGGGGGGCGAGCACCTAGACGAACATACCTATCAGGATTTTTGAGGAATTCCTGCAACAATCAAACCGAATGTAAAAGAAATTAACAAGATCATGAACAAAGCTATAACAGAAAGACTTGACTATGCAAAACCTACCACAATCTCTTCCAGCTCTTCCTTTGCTTCATCAACACCCGCAACATCTGCAAAAGTGATAATCTCACCATCACCAGAGACTTTCCTCCCACCAGGACCACCAGACTTGCGGGTCCTAAGCTGTCCCGTTGTACTCTGTGTATACCACACACTATCTTTTTAAGGAAACTACACACAGCCTTAACTTAAAACACACACACTAAAGTATCACAAAATCTACAAACCTGGGAGAAACTAACAGGGAACCGATGGAGAAGCCCTGCAAGCACTGCAATGTAGAACAACACAATCTACAACAACAAAAAAGGAAGAAACTTTATTCAATAATAACTGTACAAAAGACCCAATCATTACAATGCGAACAAGTCACCTACCAATCCAGAGTTAAAGAAACCACCAGCACGCTTATCCGGCGACCCGAACTCAACATTATTCTCAAGCATCTTCTCATACGGAGTCTTAATATCCCTCGGCCTAGTAGTTGAATACACAACCCTCTTACTCGGAGCCACACTTCTAAGCAAAGACTCTGACCCCTCAGAGACCTTACTTTCACTCTCTTCCCACTTTCCATCATCTTTCAACTTAAACAAAACATGAACTCCATCCACCTCCACTTTCTTCACCTCGTCATTATTAACCTTACTCAAAAAGTCACTATACGGTACACTCAAGAACGTCGTCTGCGTCCGAGGCTCCGACCCGGGTAACGGTATCCCGGGTCGGAGCAACCGCACAACAAACATAACGATACCTAACTGTAGTAACAAAACACCAACCTCCTGCGCCTTGATTATCGGCTCCCACTCCCATTTTTTTGTCCCCTTTGACCACCACACACTTTTACTTTCTTTCCCTCCTTTCTTCTTCTTCTTCTTGTTCCCTTCTCCGTCGCTACTAGAGCTCGTTTTCTCATCTCCTTCTTGGCAATTCACAATCTTCGTTGCTCTACTCTTCTTCCTCAAACTCCCTTCCCAGAGATTGAGTCTCGAATTGGAGACGACGAATCGGTTCGGATTGTGACGAAACGCGGACGAACGAACACGGAAGAAAGTGGCATGTGAAGAGAGGAGAGTGTTGTAATTGGTGAAACAGGATGAGAATCTGATCCCTGGTCTAAGCAATTCGATTGTAGTAGTCATTGTTTTTTTTCGGAACCCTAGAAATTGAGGAAATCAAAGGAGGAAGAAGAAGACATGGCAACACATGTTTTTGGGTTTATCTAATCTTCTTTTGGGAAACGCGAGGTTTACTGGAGACAACGACTTCGAATGTGAACCGTTGGATTGAAGGGAGTGAGGAGTTTTTTTACCGTTGGATATGATGGAGAATGTAGTGTGGACAAAGTATAGAGAGGAAACGGTGTTTAACGTCACGTGGTTACAAAGATAAAGTGGAGTGGAGAATGGATGATGAGATTTCGGGGTTTTTTCCCGGCCACAGGTTTTCGACGGTGGATATGGGCCACGAGTTTGATTTTAAGAGGGCCCACGGGATGGGCCGAGCGATAATCATGTTTAATATTATGGATGTAAAGTTTTTTCCAAATAGTTTTTCAATATATTTGTCCTAGAAAACATAAATACAATAAATGGTGACAAAAAAAAATTGAAAATATTTCCTACATTAACATTTTCTTCAGCATAATTTCAAGGAATATGTGGTTCTAGTGTTTGCGAATCTTATCTAACTTAGGCATTTAAGTTAAATGATGGGTTTTGTTTTATGGCTGAGGTTTTGGAAAAAGAAATCTGTAATTCCTAAATTAGGACTAAAAATAAATTTTCATAAATTTACATTCTTATTATTTTGGAAATCCTAATTCTACAATTATATAAAAATAATTTTAGTTCGATTTTCAACAAACTATAGATTATTGATCATATCCATATATTAAGTTTTCACAATATGTATGCTATTAGTTATTAAATTTTACAATTTTACATATGTACACATTATTAGGAATTATGCCAAAACAGAACAGAAATTCAGTCTCTTTGTCATTTTGTAATAAAATATTTTTTTATCCTTTTTTACCCTTTCTTTTTCTAAAACTCAATGAAATAAATTGTTTTATGAATCAAAAAATAAGAAAAAAATAGAAACAAATAATGAAATTTCTATATACACTAATTTTTTTTTTTTTGAAAAAAATGTTAAATTAAAATTTTTAAGTTTGTTCTACGAAAGGTAGATTTCATCTTATATAAAAAACGGCATCGTAGAAATTGAATTTCATGTTAAACAAGTGACTGTACTTTTCTTAGAACCGACAATATACTTTTATAAAAAAAATCTAAATATAAAGAATGTGTGGTCTACCCAATGTAAAATGTTCTACAATAATTTTGAATGCATTTTCCACTTTTAGAAGCAATTCTAAATTCTAGAAAAACAAAATCTAGACATAACTCAAATGGATACTTATAGTATAATCTGCTTACATGAAAATGTTATGGTTTCTTCGTTGTGTAGAAAGTACATTCTACGGATAAAATAAACATGATTTCCAAAAGTTATATTATCTATATATATATACATAATATTTCTAATTTTTTTTAACAAAATTCTTTTTTGTTGTTATCTATATATATTATGAAATAGTTTAACACGTGTCACAATCATAAACATATAATTGTCATATGTTACAATCATAAACATATAATTGTCTTGTTAATTAGTAACTTTGAAGAACCAAGCTTTATATAATAATAAAATTCGTTTTTGTTATATATATTAATTATGAAATAGTTTAACACATGTAACAATCATAAATATATACTAGGATAAGACCCGTGCCTTGCGCGGGATCAAACTATTATTTTTATTATGTTTTTAAAAATGAAACAATAGTTCGGTTTCATTCGGATTAGAGGTATTCAATCCGGATATCGGGTTTCGGTTCGGCTCGATTTTTTGGTATTTCGATCATTAAAATATAACTATTATTCTAAATCTATATGTACTTCAGTTTGATTTGGTTTATATACCATCGGTTTTCAGTTTATTCAATTTTATACCAAAAAACATAATTATTTAGTTTGAGATCATATTATATATTATTCAAATATATAATATGATCATATTTAGAGTCATATTGTCACAGAGTCATTTATTAAAAAAATATTATATATTTAAATAAAAGAATAAAAAACAAAAAAAGCTTCTATCATCTAATAAAATGATCAAATCTAGAATTAATATCAAAACACTAAATTTTAAAATAAAAATAAAAAACAAAACAGAAGCATGAAAGAAAAGTTTTATATTCTTCCATATTTAGTGTTCATCAAACCAATATGTCTTCGATTGAACACAACTCTGTTTGTTTAAAGATTAAAAAAAGTTGTAAAGAATTTCAACTAATTGTTGTCCATCAAATTTATAATCTTTACTTCAATTTAGTTACTGTTAAAAAAGCAAAAGATCAAAATAAGAAGTCTTAGTTGTAATAAATTGTTAGCTATTTACAAATTATAATTATAGTTCAACTCATGTAACAAATAGATATCTATACGTCGTTATAAATATATACATATTTACATGTTTCAGTTTAATCGATTATAAATCAAACCATATCCAAATCCTATGGTTTTTATAAAATCACATCTATTCGGTTTATATGGTATATACCAAAAATAACCATATTATCGATTGTTAATATCTTTTAAAAATATAAAATTAAAAGAGAACTAAGATATTTAAATCATTGATAACAAAAAATTTCATTGTGAAAAATTTAATAAGTTTATAATTTATAAATGTTCATGAAAATTTTGAAATTAAAATATTTATGTAATCTTATATGGTATATAGTTTAATTTGTATATATATATATATATATTTATTATTGAATGATATTTTTTACTTATATGGTTTTAAAATCATGTATATCTTTTTATAGTAAAATGTTAAATTATTGATCATTAATTTTTGACATAATAATTTTAATAGTTTAGTTATTTATTCTCGTTTCTTAAAATTCAAAATATAACCTATACGAAAAAATCTAAAGTTTAATTTTATAGCTAATTTGATTGTTTAATTTATTTTAATAATATAAAATTAAAGAAAAAATGATGGAGGATATATAAACTGTTATCAAATATTTATTATTAGAATCATTAAGTGTCATATATATATATATTAGTCATTTATGGTAATTTCGTAGGTTTTATTTATGGAAATAAAATAAAATAGTAATTATATCTTAGGGAACAATCATTAAGTGTCATATATATATATTAGTCATTTATGGTAATTCCGTAGGTTTTATTTATGGAAAGAAAATAGCATATCATATCATTATATCATATAGTTTGACTAACTAATGTNAGTAATTATATCTTAGGGAACAATCATTAAGTGTCATATATATATATTAGTCATTTATGGTAATTCCGTAGGTTTTATTTATGGAAAGAAAATAGCATATCATATCATTATATCATATAGTTTGACTAACTAATGTATCTAGCAACCTATAAAAATCTAATGTGGACTTACTTATTTTTCAATTGAATCTAATTGACTATCTAATTGAATGACACCTATGCATTGAGGCTTCTTTTAATTAATACAAAATTGAGGTTACATCTTTTCAAATGTTCCTCAATTAATATATAGGGGATTTGTTATGTGTCACAATCTTGTTAATTAGTAAGAATCAAGCTTTATATAATAAGATAGATGAGCCGTTTGCATACAAAATAGAGAAAAATTAAGAAGTTTGCATGCATGGAAAAAATGTTGGCCCAAGTGTGAGACAGCTCTAGGCGTTGAGAAATGGCATTGGTGTCCCTACTCGCTCTTTGGTTTACGGATGAAGAAGAAAATTTCAGTAATGATTACATGCATGTAATCATTACATGCATGTAATCATGAGCTAACATGTATCTCTCTTTATATTCGATGGTGAAATCATATATGGTTTTTCTTTTTGTGCACCAAAGTTACATTAATAAGTTTATATGATTACAAGAACGAAAGCAATATCATATAAACCACGACATATGAATCCAAAGACTATAACCGGACATATAGCTCAATAGGATACACGGATAGAAAGACAAACTTATAGAAATTTGATAGGACGTTATGTAAGAAGTTGAAGTTGCCACAAACGATTAGATCTATGAAAGACACAAACCGCACTTCAAAATTTGTAAATAACAAACGATTAGTCATGATAGCAAGTGACGCCACAGCACTGGCCAAGACCTCTACTCTCATTAGGATGAGGATCGTTGTATCTATTGGTCCAAATGAACCTTCACTTTGGAAACTGATAAATTTTCTCTGTTTTGAATACCGGGGGAGTGTCACCTCTTAAAAAGAGGGATTTTGGTGAAATAAATCTTTCTTTTGAAAAAGAGGAAGTGAAGAATGATCTCTCTTGACCCTGACAAGAGGAGGTTTTTATAAACTTAACCATAGAAATTAAGGTTACTGGGCTGGTTGAAACAAGCTTAATTTTGTCCTTCTAGACTAGGATCCAATGAAGTGTTGAAGCTCGTGATTGTACTAGCAATCGAAGTTTGATTAATGAGATATTTGACCTTCTGGCTGTGAGTTGACTTCAACAAGAAACACATAGAGCACAAGGCAAATAACCCATAAATGAGGTATGAATATTCATTAAGCAAGAGAGGATGAAGTGTACCTGTATTGACTGGGTAGTAACCGGCATTAAAGTCAGGAGGGTCACGCTGATCTGGCGGTGGAGGTGGCTCCGGCGAATTGACACCAACGGGAGCTAATCATTCACCAATGAAACATGTTAACTATTATCTTCTTTTTTTGATCCTAACTCATTCAACATAGATTAAGGTTACTGGACTGGTTGAAAGTAACTTAATTTTGTCCTTCTAGAGGATCCAATGAAGTGTTGAAGCTCGTGATTGTACTAGCAATCGAAGTTTGATTAATGAAATATTTGACCTTCTGGCTGTGAGACTTCAACAAGAAACACATAGAGCACATGGCAAATAACCCATAAATGAGGTATGAATATTCATTAAGCAAGAGAGGATGAAGTGTACCTGTATTGACTGGGTAGTAACCGGCATTAAAGTCAGGAGGGTCACGCTGATCTGGCGGTGGAGGTGGCTCCGGATATGACAAATCCCATATGTGAGATCCCTTTTCTGTTGACACCAACGAGAGCTAATCATTCACCAATGAAACATGTTAACTATTATTTTTCTGATTAAAACTCATTCAACATAAAATACAAGGTAAATTATATTGGTAGACTATAAAATCTGACATTAATGGATTTGGAAGAGTTTTAACTTTAAAGTGAACATTAAGGTTCAAATCAGAAAAACCTTTTTTGTTATTTCCCTTTCAAATAATATTTAAGAAACAAACTTTGATCAAAAAAAAAAAATCTATACTATTAAAGCAGAATCCTTCTTAAGATTATGCCCCTAAATTTTTTAACTAATTACAAAAGTTGCCAAAAAAAATTCTATTCTTTTCTAAATTTCTAACATTTAAAACCCAATCAACTAAATAAAAGCGCCAGTCAATCGAAATAATTTATCCATCTAAAAACAATTGTCCATTTCGTGTATGTTTCATCACTAACGCATCTAAATTCGTTTCTCTTCTAATTCTATATCCTAAACCTCTATTCAAACCCTAACTCTATTCAAACCCTATTAACACCATCAAAAACATGTTGTCCGTTAAACTATACCAAATTTTTGAATGACATGGTTTAATTTAATATTATTTTTCAATACTATTAGTTATAATATTATATTATAGGGTTAGCATTTTTTGAAATCATTGCCCTTTTAAACAACCATTAATATAGATAAACCAAATTTTGTATATTCTACCAATTATCTGAGGCAAGTCAAATAAATTCCAAGAATATTCTTTATCACATCCATTTTCATAATTACTAAATACAATCAATTCAAAAGAAAATATATAGAAACAAGATTTTTCGAAATATATAGGAACAACCTTTTCGAATATACCTAAATTAACTTATGAACACGCAGAGAATAATTTTATGCATGACATGATAACTGAATTTTTCTGAATCTATACTATTAAAGCACAATCTGTCTTAAAATTATGCCCTTGATTTTTAAGACAATTACAAAATCACACCACTAACTTCTATTTATTTAAGTTAGAGTAGCAAATATTTCATATATCTATGGGAACTAATACTTTCCATATTTTTGTTAAAGATAATAATTCTGATTTTTATGCCAACTATACTTGCCATTTAATTTCAATATATTTTTTGTAAATAATAATATTAAAATATTGAATATAGGTAGATGCATGAATTTTTTTTAAAAATATTATTTAGTATGTAATTTTATAAGAAAATATTAATATGGCAATTTTGAGTGTTCAGAAATAAATTAAAACTTATCATAAAATTTAATTTTAGATCTAAATTAAAAAATATATATAAAAATAACATAGGTTATTAAAAAAAAGGAAACTAATATTATCATATTAAAAAATTATCTTTTTTCTATTACCATTGTTTCGTTTTCTTCAAATAACATGATAAAAAATTCATCAAATTCAAAGGAATTAAAAAAAAATCAATTTTATATAATATTAAAACCAAGAGTTATTTAATCAAAAACTTCAAAAGTATTGGGTTTTTAGTGGATTAACGAATATCAGATCGCAATTTTAAAAAAAATTACCGGATTGAATCGAATTTTTAGTTAAAAAAAATTCATTAAATTCAAAATGAATTATATACAAGTGTCCAGATTTATTGATTCAACCATATATCTGAATCAAATATAAATACGCTACTTAAAAATCAAATATTATAATAAAACAATTTTTTGAAATACTAATAACTTTTTAAACAAATTTGTTGTTTAATAAAAGTTATAGATTTAATCAAATTTTATTAGAAAGGAAAAATATTCGCGCTTTTAAAGTGCGGATCAAAATCAAGTATATATTAAAACCTACATATTTGCTAGGTATCAATTTAACTGAAGAACAAAGGAGGCTATTTTGGAAACAAAATCAATTTAAAACTTGTATTTTCTTTTTCTTTTTTTTTTGAAAAAAAAAATTTAATTCCTTTTTCTTAACAATTCTGTTTTGTTGGTTTAATTTCCACTTGTACAAAACAAACATGGAGAAAGAAAGAATTTGAACATCCTGAAACAGAGGAACTCCAGACAATATACGCTGTCTAACTTTAGAAAACTCCATTTATCAATGTTTTTGTATGATCTTTCAAGCAAAAAAAAAAGGGACAAACCCAAATATTGATCCTGTTTCAATTGATTTCTTATCAATTTCCATCTCTTGTATAGTGATTGCATGGAAAATGGGCATTGACGTGAAGGAAACATGCGCAATAATATGGAAAGTTATTGGATTCTCAATGAGCACAAGCATCAAATTCATGAGAAACCACCCAATCTTGTCTTTGGTTTCCATGTTTCTACTCGCTCTATACATTCTCCTCCCTTCCTTATTGTTCTTCTTGATATACTCGTCGCCGGTTCTTGCATGTGTTGTAGTGTATGCTAGAGAAAAGCTGGGATTGAGATTTTCCGATTCCTCTTCGGAGTCAAAGAGTTGTGAAGGAGAAAAGAAAGGTGGTAGATGTCACTTAAGACAACAAAGAAGTGTCCGAAGAAACGCTAGAATGAAAGTTGAAGAATGGGATTCACAAACAAGCGAGGAAGAGAAGGACAAAGTCATCTTGACCTCTCTTTACAACGATCTCCTCGGACGTACACCACAATTCGAGGAGTCTCCAAAAGCAATAGAAACCAACGTAGTAGAAGAAGAGAATGATAAGCCTTTTGTTGAGGAGGAAGATTCAAGAATGTTTAACGTTGATCAAGAACAACCAATGGTTTGCAAGTGTGAGGTCAATGAAGAGAAACAAGATGGTAAAGAAGAGATGAGCAATGGGATCTCTGAGGTTGAAAGAAACAAGAGACTAGAGAGTCTAATCGCTAGAAGAAGGACAAGACGACTCTTTAAACTAGCTTTAGACCAACATAATAAGCTTCAAGCTGAAGAGACAACCAGCCCTACACAGAACAACAACCTTCACATTACGGTTCCAAGGAACAATAACAACAACCCTTTTGAGAAACGTCGAAACTATCAATCAGGATTGCAAGTTCCAGGGTCAGCACCTTCTGTGATGTTACAATCGAGAAGCCCTTTTGATATTCCTTATGATCCTCAAGAGGAAAGACCTATCCTAACTGGAGATAGCTTTGATCAAGAATTCTCATTTTTCAACCCTAATGATATGTTCCTTACTCGTCATGAGAGTTTCTGTCGCTTTGCTCATTTTTCCCCAGAACATGCTCAGTGTATGAACAGCCCTGTTCCTGCTTCAGATGTTTCCACTACTAGGAAACGCTTAGGTAGTGTGTTCTTGTTTTTTTTTTTTTTTTTTATCAGTGTTCTAAAAATCGGTCTATGCAGCTTTCTATAGACGTTTCCAAAAATCAGTGCAAGTGCCAGTCTAAACAATAATCTTTGTTTAAAAGACGCATAACCACCGTCTAACGATTTTTTGAACATTGATATATACTAAGTGAATAATTAATGATTTTCTTATAATTTTGTTACAGATTTGGACAATGAATATATGGATCATAGTGAACAAAAGCACTCCTACTATGTCAAACAAGTCACAACAGAGGATAGTGATAGAAGTGGTGAGGGTGAAAAAAGCAAAAACAGAGATGAAGAGGAAGAAGTGAATAATGAGACAGACTCAAGTGAAGAAGATGATGATGATGATGATTCAAGTTGTTCAGAAGAAAGTGAGGCAGAACTCAACCGTTTCAACAAAGCAGAGTTAAGAGAAGCTATAAGCCACTCAATGGATAATTTTCCTGGGTTTCTTGTGAATCAAGCAAGAAAAGATATCCCAAGCCCATTACCTAGAGGCTTAGCAGCGCCAAAACTCGATGATAACATGTTTTATGCTCGTAGAGGCACAAGTTCTCACAGTAGAACCTTCTCCATCGCCTCAGATATGCAAGTAGAGGTTTCAGAGCTTGGTTCACCTCCTACGACGGTTGATTGGCTTGATGACTGGTCTAATGGTGGAGAATCATACACGTATGATACAGATATTGACAGAGAAATCATTCGCGGTGAAGAATCACGTAAGAGGGTTTCTCAACAATGTGATTCAAGACCAAAAGAGAATGATAATGGGGTAGGGACTAAACCATATCAGAAGTGTTTGTCAGATGAACATCTTAAGTCAGCTGATGAGATGTCTTTGTTAGATAGAAGGAGCCAAACCATAGATTTTGATCAGAAACCTTCTCGTTCTAGTGATGTGTTCAAGTCTAGAAGCTATGGAAAATTAGATGGTTTGTTGTTCCATACAAGTGTGTCATTGTCTTCAATAACTGAAGAACCTGAAACAATCTTGGACTCAAATATCATTGATCATCACCAGAAGGATCAAATCTTGAATAGCATTCAAGGAGAAAATGATACAGAGATCCATATGAAAGAGGATGAGAACACAAAGCCAAAAGAATATGAGACAGCTCAGAGCGTCTTGGATGCTTCTTTGGACACTCCTTACGTGGAATCATCTGAGAGAGAGATAAAAAAGGAAGAAGAGTCAAACTTAGATAATTCTACAAAGGGAGTAACAAAACAAACAGAAGATAAGGCACTTCAAGGTGACTTGATGAGTTTTCCTTGCCATGAAAGTGAGGTCTTGGAAGAGAAACCAATTAAAATTCCTGATGAGAATGCAAAGCCAATGGAGCAAGAGGAAACTAATGACGTCTTGGACGAATCTTTAATCCATCCTTGCACACAATTGTCTCAAGAATATGGTAATGCAGAAAATGATAGTGATGTGATGCTTATGCAAGTTCAGGATGGTAACAACTCAACATTGGATGAGTCAGCTGATCTGGATTTCTCCAAAGAAGGAGAAAGTTCAGGGTTATTGAAAGATCTTCACGCTGAATCGGCCGAGGAATACAACAATGTAGTGAACGTTGAAGAAGAATCAGAGATGAAAGAAGAAGAAGAACCAAACTTGGATAATTTCACAAAGGATATATCAGAACAAATAGAAGATAAAGCACTTCAAGGTGACTTGACGAGTTCTCCAGGGCATGTTTTTACAAATTTACAAGAAAGTGAAGTCATGGAAAAGAATGATCCAATATTAGTCAAAAAATCTGGTGCAAAGCTAGGGGAACAAGAGAAACCCCATGACGTTTTAGAAGCATCTTCTAGCTCTCCTTATACACAATTGGTTGAAGACTATGAAAATCTTCTGAAAGTTCAAAACGGTAATGACTCGGCTTTGGATGAGTCAATTGATCAGAAGTTCTCAAAGGAAGGAGAAAATTCAGGCTTATTGATAGATCTTCATGCTGAACCAACCCAAGAACACAGTAATATGATGAATGTTAAGGAAGAATTAATAGGTTTAGAAGATGCTAATGATTCACAAGCTTCACAACTTTGGACACAACAGGTTTTACCCTCTACTCTAATCATTTTTGACATGTCTTAACTTCTTTCCCGGTTGTTGGTTCTTGTTTCGAAGTTTTGTAATGGTTTTATTTATTCAATGAATAGAACGGTACAAATTCTTCCGAAGGAATATCACCAAGAACATTGGATATCACCCAAAAACCAGAGCAAACTGATGCTATCTCTCAAGATACTGCTAAAGATAAAGTTGATACAGCAGCTAAAGACTCGACTGATACTGAGAAGAATGATGAAGAGAATCAGAAACCTGATGAGCAAGTTATAGAAGAAGATGTGGAAAAGGAATTACAGCTTACATTACAATCGTTGCACCATAGCACTGGCTTAACGGCTAGCGAAGACGATGAAGAATCCAAGAAAGTGGTTGAGGCAGTGCACAATACAGAGACCAAAACAACACAGACGGAAACAGATTCTTAGGCTAGTGTTTTAAATGGGAATTTTATACATAAATCATAGATAATCAGAATTGTTTCATATTCAATTTGTAACCATTTGTTTATTATTTTATGGAAGACTAACGTGTTGATGATACACAAATATCAAATAAGTAACGCTACCCACTATACACAGTTGGTACAGATCCAAGAGTTACTAGTGGAGGCATTCTTATCAAGAAAATTATGTTTATGGATTGATTTGTAACAAATGAAACACAATGTTGTATCATTATTTTATGGAATTTTTTCAATTAAATTCTATAAATATAACTTTTTGGGGTAATATTTGGAGATTGCTAGTTATGCTCAGGAACATAGGAAAAAAAACTACTATCAGTGTAGCATGTCCTTTGGTTGCATATGGTATACATGGAAAATAAAGAAATATTTGGTGTATCAATCTACCTAATATAACATGCAAGTGCTAAAAGCTGAAAGTTATCAGCAACCCTCTATTTATATTCTATACATAATACACACAAACATATGAATTTTCCTGTGAATATACACAACTTTCCTTTGTCGTTTGGATGCGTCAAATCCGTAAGAAGATTCTAGCATTTATCAAGACAGTAGAATGTTGATCTTGAATCCCAAAACACACGGAAAGTACTATCATACATGAACATCAATCATTCAAGCGAGCGCTTAGATCAATCACGAAAGACACTAACGCCTATACGCAGAAACAACATGTGCGTATATATCATAACGCCTATATATCATGCACGACGCACCCCTGCCAAGGAAGGAGTATATGGAGTGATTCATTACATACGTCTGAATATGCAGACGTATATATTGTAGTTATTATGAAATGCTTAAAAGAATAATATCAAGTCGCCTAACTAATAAGGAAACTATTAAATTAACTGTGCTTTAATTATTATGAAATGTATATTTTCCATTTTAGCAAACTAAATATTCCATAAATCATTTTTCTTTCCTAAACTCTCATCTTCAATTAATGGTAATTATATCTCATGATCTTTTTTTCCTTCCTTAAAGACAAACTAAATCACGGTCAAGATATAAAACCTAGCATATATAGCCATTATTCCGACAGAAACTCGATAAAAATTGCTTTCGCAAAGAAACTCGCTGAAAGCTTCCTTTGACATCCAAGTAAGAATTCGGTATTTTGCATAAAACTGTATACTCTTCTCTAGTTTTACTGTTTTTCATGTTCCCTTGTCTACTTTCTGGTCTATATATAAACATGAACAATTGTTCAAAAAAAAAAAAAAAATTGTTCAAAAGGCATATCAATTAATCTATATGTGTATCTATGTTTTTGGGTAATATGTTTATATGTTTTTGTGTCGTAGCAATAAGAAATGAGGGTACAAAGGATGGCGCATGAGAAAGTCGTGGACCTACAAAGGATAGCGAACGATAAGACAAGGATGACAACTTACAAGAAGAGGAGAGCCTGTCTTTACAAGAAGGCAGGAGAGTTCTCAACTCTCTGCGGCGTCCAGACATGTCTCATCGTCTACGGGCCCACCAAAGCGACCGATGAGGTGATTTCCAAACCTGATATATGGCCGGAGGACGAGAGCAAAGCCAGAGACATCATACGCAGGTACAGAGACACAGCGTCGAACAGCTGCAGGAAAGAAGCCCACGTGGAGACTTTCGTTAACGATAAAGGTAAGGCAAAAGAGATGGAGAGTAATAATAATAAGAGAGGGATGAATAACAAGAATAAGTATTGCTGTTGGGATGAGAAGCTAGAGAAGTGTTCACAAGAGCAGCTGCGTGGGATTTTTGATGACGTGGGAAACAAGTTACATGAAGCTATAACGAGACAGAGTCGTAATACGTTTAGGGCCCAGCATCAAACCATGGAGTCACAATTCCCACAGATTTTAATGGATTCCCATTACGTGTCACAATACTTTGCTGGTAACCAGCAGCAACAGTGCTTGATGTTCCCATATAATAATATGAGTGTCCCGTTGTTCTCGGCTAATGATGATCAGATTCCAATGGAGCCGATTCTAGTGGATAATTTTGCCGACTCAGGGGTAAATCAAGGCTTCATGATGTCGAAGGGAAACGAAGGTACTCAGTTTATGCAGAGGCAAGCACCTTATTACAGTCTTGAACCGTTTGTACCGAGATCTGCAACTTTTAATGTCAACTCATTCACGGGCTATCATCAGGTCCCATATAATATTCCTCGGTTACCGGATAATCAAGCTGGAGGATGGGATTTTATGGGGAAGAAACCGATTTGAGTTAGGTAGCATTTTTATTTTTTAGGGTTTATGATTAGTTTCATTGTTTCAGTTTGGTTTTGTTTATGTATGCTGGCTTGGATTTTTCAAGTATGTTTCTAATATATCATCATGTTTTGGGAATTTTATAAAATTTTTGGTTTAGTTTTTATGTATCTATACTAATAAAAGAGAAGGAGGCTAATTATTTATACAAAGTTGCTTGGTCCAATTCATTAGCTAATTATTTACTCGAACTATACACAATTAATTACTCTGGTTATACGATTTCCGTTTCACTCACCACGAAACTGGATTTCTTTATCGAGACTTTGAGATTCGTATGAATAAACCAATTCTATACAATGATTTTCATGATTTAGTCTAACCATTCTTCTATAAAAAAACAATTTTATTCTAGGCCATCATTTTGTTTGCGTATCTCATGATCTTTGTTTGGTAGCGAGTAGAAAAACCCTAGCCGATGGAGACGTCATCGAGGCTTCTGGTTTTCCGAAGAATTACTTAGCACTTCTTAATCGTCCTTATGATTACAACACGTTGGAGCTGTCGATTAGTGGTGAGATATGAAAATTCATCACCAGTGACCAGACATACGACGTCAATTTGCAGAGTGACATCAGATTCAAAGGCGAGGTTTTAAGGGTGTTTTGACGTATCCTTAGTTTCATTTTCGGATCTGTTTTGTTCGGGCGGTTGATTTGTAATTGGTTGGATAGCAGATTTATATAAAAGCTATGGCCGTTTGATGAATCGAGTTGAGAAGAAGTTTAGTTGTTAATGTAGTTGTGTTAGTACATAAATTTGGTTTTCATGATTAGTATATAGAGACTGATCGTTAGATGGAACCTTTCTCAGAGTGGATTCAAAGTTTGATCAGCAACATAAGTTAGTTTAGGAGGTATTTAAGGCTGCTGAGTCTTGAGCTGAGGGCAAGATATATATAATTTTTTTTTTTTTGAATTGAATGTTAAATTTAATTCAAAAGAAAAAGCTCTTTTTACAAACTATGTGTGACCTTTTTATATTTCCCTATACAAAACTGTTGCTAAAAAAGATGAACAGAAGCTTATGTTTCCCTATTTCCCTCCATTTCGAACATCCAAATTTACTTCAATCTCCTCTCAATACCAAGCTCTCCTCTCATTACCCAGCTCTCACTCCTACTGGGCACCAGCTCTCACTCCTACTGGGACAACACATCCTTCCCTCCCCTCTCAATTACACACGACATTGCCATAATCCAAATACCAGGTTCTGTTTAGCACTCACTCCTACTAAACAGCCAGCGCTCACTCCTACTGGACTGACCCACTCCAAAACCTTATCTTGTACTAAACCAGTACTGCAAGCCATCTCCCAAACTCTTATCTCCCTTTCTTTGAACCAAAGTAAGCTTATTTCTCATGTTTTTATCAAGAAGTTTAATCAATAATGCAGCTGGAGTCTCTCCATCTCCATGTCTCCTTCGATTGCGCTCAATCCAAATCATATATACAGTCGCTTGAAGTAAGTACTTCATAACAAACAGCTGCACTTTACTTCTTGACTGACTTCTCATAAGTCTCAGAATAGCTTCCCATTCCCCTGTGTAAAGGTCACACAAGATTCCTTTCATCAAAGCTTCCCAAATCTGAGCAGAGTAAAAACATTCAAAGAACAAATGCTCAAGAGTCTCCACCGGCTCATTGCAAAAAACACAAGCAACATTTACACTTCCATCCCAAGACTTCATTCGCTCCCCCGTTGTAAGCCTTCTTTTCATCGCCAGCCAGAGAATAAAAGAAAACTTCGGAGTCGCGTGGTTGAACCAAACAATATTAGACCAGTGACAGAGCATGTGCTTTTCTCGTGTAAACTCCCAAGTATCTCTTGAGAAAAACACCTTCTTGTGACTCTTACCATTAAACCATAATGAGACATCATCCTCATCAAGAACACTGTTATTTTTACTTTTCAAAATCTCATCCTCCACCTTATTCAATATCAACACTCGGTGAGTTCTTCTCCTATGTTTCCAACTCTCCTCCACAGTAGCATTTATTCGAATACCCAGGTCAATATGACTACCACCACTCAGAATATCTACCAAACAGCCCAGAGAAGACCAGTTTTCGAACCAAAAAGAAGCCTTCCTTCCATTCTTAATCTCAACCCTGTACATCTGTTTCGCAATGTCTCTGCACTTCAATAACTTCTTCCACATCCATGAGCCCACCTGAGTGTTCTCTTGAACCATCCAGAAAGAACTCTTCCTAATTAAGTACAACTTGACCCAATTCACCCATAAGGAATTCGAAGAGAGGATTCTCCATATAAGCTTCAGACAACACACCATGTTAGCATCTTTTAATTTTCTGATTCCCAAACCTCCCTCCTGCTTTGTACCACAGATTTCATTCCAAGAAACTTTAGCTTTTTTGCTGTTTAATTCCGGACCCGACCAAAGAAATGCAGCACATAACCTCTCAACCTCCTTTATACAGCCACTCGGGAGTCTAAAAGAAGCCATCCAGAAGTTAGCAAGGCTCATTATAACAGACTTAATCAACTGGAGTCTCCCTGCGTAGGAAAGAAAACGTCCAGTCCAAGAGCCAAACCGTTTTCTTACCTTCTCAATCAAAGGCATGTAGTCTAAGATCGTCATGTTCTTAGTAAGAAGAGGAAGACCGAGGTAACGCACAGGAAGTTTACCCGACTCAAAAGGAAAATGCCCGAGGATCTCGTCTTGTTTCTGAGCAGTAACACCAGCAAGAAACAAAGTCGATTTCTCCAAACTGATACTAAGCCCTGACATCCTATCAAAAGCGTCAAAAACTTTCAAAATCTCCTCAATGGACCTCTTAGTACCATCCGCAAATATCATTAGATCATCTGCAAAACATAAGTGAGTTAGGTTTATGTTTTTGCACTTCGGATGAAAACCAATCTTTCCCTGCCTTGCTGCTTCATCAACCATTCTTGATAAAACATTCATACAGACGACAAAGAGGTATGGAGAAAGTGAACAGCCTTGGCGTAGGCCCCTTTTACTCTGAAAATATCCCGCAAGCTCCCCATTCACTTGGACAGAAAACGACGCAGTAGTGACACAAAGAGAAATCCAATGAATAAATCTCTCTGGGATGCCAAGAGCTGCTAAAGTGTTGATGAGAAAAGGCCATTGAACCGAGTCGAATGCCTTGGAGATGTCAATCTTCATTGCACAACGGGGGGAGACTGTGTTCTTATGGTAGTCTTTAACCAACTCAGTAGCTAGCAAGACATTTTCCATAAGTAACCTCTCCTTTATGAAGGCTGATTGATTCCAAGTGATACATTTTGATAGTATGCTCTTCAGCCTATTAGCCAAGATTTTTGAAATAACCTTGTACAAGACGTTGCAGCATGAAATTGGTCGGTAATCTCTTATCTCCTTCGCCTCAAGCTTCTTTGGGACCAAAGCAAGAATCGTGGAGTTGAGACCTTTTGGCAAAAAGCCCTTAATAAAGAACGATTGAACTGCCAATGTGATGTCATTACCAATGATGTTCCATGACTCTTTGAAGAACTCAGTAGTGTAACCGTCAGGCCCTGGAGCCTTGCTCCCCGGCATCATAAAGATAGTCTTTTTGATCTCCTCCTTCGAGACCACCTTCACTAAGTTTCCGCAATCCACTTCACTGCATTTAAACTCCAATAATTCACTGAGTCTTTCTACTGTTGGCACTTCAAAGTCTTGAGGATGAGCAGACATGAAATTTGCAAAGAAGGTAACTGCTTCAACTTTAATCTCGTCCTTAGATTTAACCAGCCTACCATCAGTACACTTGATCTCATGAATAGAATTTCGAGTTTCCCTCACTTTCGCTGCACTGTGAAAAGTTTTATTGTTGCCATCCCCTACATCCAACCAGTGTAATTTTGATTTCTGTTTCAGAAACTCCTCTTCCAATTCAGCCAACCTTACCCATCTTATATAAGCCTTGCCTTATTCTTTTATACACTCCGAGCTTGGATTTAACAACGTCTCATTTTGCTTTAAACAGAGAAAATCATAAGCTTCCTTCGTTCTCCTAGACAAGTCTCCAAACTTAAGCTTACTCAAACCTCTTAAAGGAAGCTTCAGACCCTTCAATTTCTTAGTTAAGCGGAACATTGCTGATGTTGAAATGTATAGAGCCTCCTGGTTTTTCCAGTAATCCTCAAGCAGTGGGAGAAATTCTGGCATTCTTGTAATAGCATTTGTGAATTTGAATGGCTTTCTCCTTCTTACATCATCTTTATCAAAATGGAACCGGCAACGGAGATGGTCAGAGCACCCGCCCGCCTCAAAGACGCAGTAAGCTTTCGAACCATTGAGCCATTCCTCATTTATCATTACTCTATCCAGTTTCTTGCAAATCAACCCTTCATCTCTCTTATTACACCACGTAAATAACGGCCCCTGAAAACCCATGTCCGTTAACCTACAAAGATTAGCCACCTCCTGAAACTCCCTCATTCCCGCCAGATTCCTAGATAAATTCCCAAACTCTGAGTGCTCATTACCCTCTAGGATCTCGTTGAAATCCCCCATAATTACCCACTTCTTTCTAAAGAACATTGGTGCCTCATAGTGACACTTAATATCCTCCCACAACTCTCTTCTCTCCTCTACTGTATTTAAAGCGTAAACAAAGGAGCATAGGAATTCCTCATCCTCCCCCGGCAACAAAATAGAAACCGTAATAAGTTGATTACTCTTATAAACTGGAGTCAATCTTACTGTTGACTCCCAAACCACCCATAGCCTTCCTAACCGGTTGTGCTCATAATTAGCAAGGAAATCCCAGCCATTGAACACACTCGAGACAATCTGCATAGCTTTATTCTCCCTGACTCTAGTTTCAATTAAACAACCAAATAAAAACTCATTACTCCTCATCCAACTACGAACCACATCATGTTTAGTTTTTTTGTTGAACCCCCGCACATTCCAAAAGAACCCTCCCATCAGAGATTTTTATTAGAACCCCTAT